AAAAAAAAAAAAAAAAAAAAAGAAAGGAAAAAGAAAAAAATAAGAAAACAAAAATCAAAATCAAGACAAGAAGCAAAAACAAACCACAACAAAATAACCGTCGTTTTCTTGTTTCTATTATAAAGCTGTCCAGTTAGAGCTTTTCTACCAGAGGCCCTGTCACTCACTGTTATCACTCCACTCTGGCAAAAGTTGTCACTGAAGTACATTGAGGCCAAAGAAAACATTATTTTTTTTTAAAGAGAAAACAACAACAAAAACCCTTCCCTGATTAGCTGCTACTTGCTGTAAAATTGGCTAGTTTCTTGTCATAGTTTTCAGGATGTTGTTTTGTTTTGTCGTCTTTAAAGGAAGAGAGCAGGAAGAGAGAAAATTCCAGATCAAGTTGGACAGCCCCAACTCCAGGGCAATTTCCAGACCTTGTCCTGGGGACCGGCTTCCGATGAGCAGCAGGGGCTAGGACTGTCCCGGGCAAGAGTGCATTAAGCCTCTTTACTCTATCTTCCACACCAGACATCTATCAGCAGCATCCAGGGTGAGTGCACTGCCATCACCGGCCCCTTCTGCCAAGGACAGAGTTCAGGGCCTTCCTGTCCAACCCCCTTCAGTTCCTGACTACCCTGGACCACTGAGGGCCAGGAACTGCAAGCCAGGCCTCCTGGCTAGAACGACTTACCAGGCATGGTTCTTTAGCCCTGTTACCTCTTACTGATCCAAGGACATGGCCTACGTGGGGGTAGATTCATTTCTGGGTGCTGGAATGCCTTGTTCCCAGCTGGGGCATGACTGTCTGATGTCAGAGTCCCACGTTGTCACCTAGTACATCTTGCTGGTTATGGTATAAACTGCTTAGACCAATTCTAGCAGTCCCATGCTAGCTCTGCCCAACAAAGTCACCACATACAAGACTGAGCCACCCTTAATAAGTAATTCAAGTCGCATTCCCTAAGGCTGGCAATTACTTCCTCTAAGTGGTGATATAGTGAGATAGAATAATAAAAAATGAGTTCCTTTCCAGAGGCCAAAAGCCACAACAGTAATCATATTTAATAGCTCCCCTACCCTTCCTCCCGGACAACGGAGGTGTGCTCTTCAGTACTGGGTCAAACATACCTAAGTTCAAACCCTGTTCTGCTGCTTCACTGTGTAACCTTCAGCGCCTAAGTTCTCATCTGGAGAATAAGTACCCCACCACCTATCTGAGAGACGGGCTATGGAGTTCTATGAGACCATCACCTAAGATAAGACATTTGTCCAGCACCCCACAAGCACAGTATGCAAGATTCAAGCAATGTGCCTAGGCAGCCTGACACCAAGTCAAGAACTTCAGGCTTTCCCAGTCCCTAAACTTAAAAAGGCACCAACTTCCATGTAGAATTAGCCCCTCAGGCACCCCCCCCCCATTTAGGTACGCTCTTTACTGTCTAGTTGTGGACATCTGGGCAAGTTTCTAACTGGCCTATCTTTGGTCACTACACCTACACTACAATGCAGATCTAACACACCCTTTTTCTGGAATGATTTAGAAACAAAGGAGATAATGCAGGCAACGGGAAGAGTGCTTAGCTTAGTTTAGGGCAGGTTTTATGCTGGAATTACCTTTGATGTTCCCACAACATGACCTGTTAGAATGCTCTGACCTGTGGCCTGAAGAGATTTTGTTTCTGACAAAATCTGATGCTAGTCTCAAATGGCTCAACTTTGTCTACAGGAAACATAGTGTGTTTAAAAATACAATTTTATGTTCTTATTCAATGAAAAGAAAAACAGGTCCGTGGGATTCTAGTTAGAAAGAAATTAGACTGAGCCTATATGAAATCAGACTGAAGCAAGAGCCATAATAATGATGATGACGATGATACTACTACTACTACTACTAATAATAATAATAATTCAGCGCGGTATTCCTGAGGACTTTTTAGGTCAGGAGTTGTATTCCACCCACTGGATAAATGCTACATCTAATGGGCAAAAAGCTTGTGAAAACTTTACAGCTTGGCTAAAAACTGTAGGGTGATATAGGTTAAAGCAATTTTATCCCCAATGCTATTGGATAGCAGGAATTTTACAAGTGGAAAAGGGCAGCTTTTGTGAACATGTCAGACATAAAACAAAACACCTCCTAAAGGGGAAGCTGGAGAGCAGACAGGGCCAACCGGCTCAGGGAGCCATTCTGCAGTCCCTGGTCCAGCTTTCTATGCATCCTGGATCCCATTTGAGTTCTCAATAAAAAGCAAAAAAAAAAAAAAAAAAAAAAAAAAAAAAAAAAAGCTGTACTTTAGCTGCCTTTCTAGGTCCCCTTCTAAGCAAGGCAGAATTTCAGGACTCAGATTAGCAGGGTGGGAGGGAGCTCATCTTACTTCATGTCTTCAGGGGCTGCCACAGCCTCAGCACCATGTTCTAATCATGGAATTCAGAATGCAAATCTTTAGCAGATGAGACGGCTGGAAAACAGAAACTGCACGGACCCCGAAGGCTTCCAGAGCTCCCCTCTAAACATCCTAGCTGCCAGCCCAAGGGCTCCTAGTCCTGTTTCAGGCCATGGGTGGGGCCTATTTGGAAACCCAGGCACATTCAGAGGGACATCAACCATCCCTTGACTCTAGTTCTCCTTGTTTATTTCACACCCGGCAACACCAGCTAGACATTTCACAGCTGCCTCCTGTCTGAGCCCCTCATTCTGAAAAAGGTGTTTGTGTATACTTGTAGCTCAACTGTCCATCAAACCACAATGGTGAAGACTTCTAGAACAGTCCAGAAGTTGGGCTTCCTAGTTTGGTCGTTACATGAAAGATCTTTTTATAAGTCCAAATATTGCTGGAGTCTTCTAATGGACTTAAGAGATACCCCTGGGGCATGCTGGCTGCTTCCTGGGGAGGCTTGCTTCTCCCTATGATGTTAAGGGGAAGTCCTAAGTCTCCGGTCAGTCTGCTATTAAAGCAGGGACATCTGCTGCCCTCCTAATATTTTCAAGGCCAGTGCCCCTCCTCCATCCCCCTCCCAGAACTCAAGTATTTTTGCAAGGGCTACACGCTGCCAGGGTGGGAGAAAAGCAGAAAAAAATCTCTCCCTAACACATCCATCAGTTCCCTCCCTAGAGCCCCCCACACATTGCACACACAGCAGCAGCCCACTCCCCCAAACACACCAAGACTGTAAAGATTCCTGCTCCAGTCCGGGACTGACATTCCTCTTCCCAATCTCGTTTTAATTCGCTCACTTAAAAAAAAAAAAAAAACAAAAAAAAAAAAAACAAAAAAAAAAACAATGTAGTTACTTGACGGTCAGCCTGGGCTACACTCTGGGGCTTTTACTCCTTTCAACACAGATGTCCTCCCAGCTTTGATGCTGCTTGTCTGTGTAGCTAGTCCATGCCACAGCCGGCTTGGTAATGTAACATTCAAGTGCATATTTATTTTTAAACTGACCTCTCCTAGACGGTGCAGTATGAAGCAGGTCCTGCCAAAAAAATATGCTACTTTCTATTTATAAGATGAAACACATGCCTTCCCCTCCCAGAGGCGAGAGGGGGTGGAGTATAATAATTCATAAAGAAAAAACTGACTGACCATATCCATTCGTCCTCACATGTCTGTGTCAAGACACTTAGTGAGGAAGATGAGGAAGAGAAAAAGAGGAGGAGGAAGAAAGATCTTGCAAACGCTTCAGTTGTTCAGAAACCGCAGTCAAAAAAGAAAAAAAAATTCAACTGCCATATCTGCAGGTTGGAGCCTCAGCTACAATGCGCTGCCTCTGTCAGCAAGGAAGCTGCAGAGCTGCGCTGGGCATCCACATGCGCCGCCCTGGTGCAAACACCACTAAAGGGGCGCGGTAGCCAAGTGCGGTTTGTTCTGATGGAAAAACGCAAAGGCGCCCAGAATGGCTGTCATTAACTCGGAGGGGGCCCTGCTGCCTGCAGCCCCACCCTAAAGAAGTCGGAGCGGTTGGCAGAGCTCTGCTACCCGATTCCCTCCCCGATCGCAAAACGTCCCATTTGGTCCTCTGGACATCAGCTCAGTGCCCTAGGTTATCCTCGCACCCTTTAGGTCTTCCGAGCCCAGCACCAGCACGAACTGGAGGGAACTTAGGTTGAGGGTGGGACAGACTCACAGGTGGAGAGGCAGCCTGGGTTACACACTCACTCACCGGCTGTCGCCGAGGCTCACTTCTGCCCGGGGGCCGGGCGTCGGCCGGGGTCGCCTCCCGAGGGCGCAGGCAGTCCTGGTCTGAGCGAGCAGATCCCGAGGGGGGCGGGGACGACGGTTCACTGCACGATCTACTCCGGGGACTGCGTGCGGAGTCTCCCGGGAGGCAGCGACCCCGGAACGGGGTTGTCGGTGTGCGGCCCGCTGCCGTGCCGCCAGCGGCCGTTGAAAGTGCCCGCGACACTGAGCGCGCGGCGGCCAGACGCGCGGTCCCAACCTGCCGAGGGCGGGGCGGGGCGCGGGGGCGGGGCGGGGCCCGGAGCGGGGCGGGGCCGGTGAGGGCAGGGCGGGGAGAAGGGTGCTGGCCACGGGGGACCCTCCCTCCACGGTACCTGTCCCCGGTCCCGCGCGACAGGAGGCGCGGCCGCGGGCTCTTGGAGGACAATGGGAGCCCACTGTCACCTCGCAGTCCCACCTCCCCCGGGATGTGGCTTCTCTCCAGAGGCAAAGCCGCCTAAGGGCTCTCTCGGGCACAAAGAAAAGTGGCGGGGTACTCTCTTCAAAGAAGTGGCC